GAGTTCATCAAAGTTTCAAAATGAGTTTGAAGATTGTGGATATTGCTTCACTGTTAGAAGGATGCTAAATGGTTTTCCCATTAATATTTTTGCTTTAGAGACTATGCTGTTGGTAGCCTTGCTTTATTTACTATTTATTTAGTTTTTTGAAACAAAAATACAAAATTGTACAAATTATACAAATACAAAAAATTTGAGGATCTGCCTCTATGATCCAGGCTGGCCTAGAACTCTTGATCCTCTTCTTTCAGCCTTTAGAGTGATGGGACTATCAAAAATCATTACCACACTTAGCCTTGTTTGTTTGTTTTCCTTTTTTCATCTCTTGAAGACTTCACTGTCTCCAGCTCCAGCTGGAGTCTGACCAGTGCGCCCCCTGCTGTACATTCTGATAGTGCAGGACCTCCCTTAACACAAGCCACAGTGATAACCAGCCGGCCTGCCTGTCTCCGGTTTCTGTCTCTGTGCTCTCTAGAATGGTTTTAAAGGATTTCCACTTAGACAAAAAAAAGTTTCAATTTTTGAAATTTCTAAGGCTTGGCCTTTGAGAGGACTCGCTGTTGTGTTGAGCAGTTGAGTAGGCTGAATTCAGTCTTTACAGAAATAGGAAAATAAAGACAAATTTTGCTTTTAAAAATTCGTCAAGACTGCGCGGCTTGTGGTTAAGAACTCCGTTGTTTCATGTTGGGTTCATTTCTAACCTTGTCCTTCATTTGCATGTTCTAAATCTAACTTGTAGTTCTGCGCCACCGGGATGAGCTGGCATCAGTTTCCTTACTTCCTCTGAGCACACAATAGGAGTGTTTTATTCTGAAGGAGCTGAAGCCAAGTGAACTTTCCCATAATCAATAGCAGTGTTTCAAGGATCTTCCCAAGATGCCAGAGATAACAGTCTCTGCTCATACATTGTTCCTGGAATTTAAGAAGTGTCAAATCAGAGCATTCTTTTCAAAACTGGAAATGTAGTGTCAAAAGTGACCTTTTTTTTTTTTTTCAAGAAATAACTCTGTAGCGAAACTGCAAAACTAGGTATCCAGCTACATTTTTTTGAGCTAAAAATGGGTGTGAATTCTTGTCAAATTCCTTTCCCACCACAGTGTGATGGGAGGAATTTTTGCCTAGCGCTGAAACAAAAGTGGTAGAATTTTAGCAGCCAGTTAGACTAAGTAGCTTTGGGGGAAGTGCGGGGTTTGGAAAGGAGTGTTTTGCTTCTGGGAAGAATGAATAGAGGAAACCAGAGTGTCCTAATGCGTTTCCCAGTTCTCTGCCTTCAGACAAAAGACCTCTGCTGTTCTCCGGCCCCCATCCTAGTCCAGGCCCTACTACAGCATCTGGAATCCAGAATTTGGTGACTGACCCAGAAATAAATAAAGCAGTTTGATTAAAACAGTGGCTACTTCAAACGGTGCTAAGTGCACGGGTTCCTCCAGATCATCTGAATTCTCTTAGCATCCTAGAATTAACGGGGCATTAAATGTTGAATTAAGATCATATGGATTAGCCGGGCGGTGGTGGCGCACACCTTTAATCCCAGCACTTGGGAGGCAGAGGCAGGCAGATTTCTGAGTTCAAGGCCAGGACAGCCAGGGCTACACAGAGAAACCCTGTCTCAAAAAAAAAACAAAAAAAACAAACAAACAAAAAGGCTGTATATAAAGAATGTATATAAAGGCCTAATGGGTACTAAACTCCCGAATACCTTACTGGGGTAATATGGATGTCCTCGAGGTAGTCCAGCTGGAAGCCTGAGGTCAGAAGGAAGATGAATTAGCAAGAAGTGGGGCACACGTGGTAAGAGATACACAGTTCAGGATTGAATGAAAGCAGAGGCCGTAGAGCTGCCCCCCGAAACACCCCAGACCTCCATTGGTAACTTCTGGTTTTAGTGACCAGACAGCTCAGCACAGCTTGTATGACCAGGGAGTTAGTTGAAACAAAGTAGAGAGAAGAGTGTAACACTGCAAACTCAGCAGGGCTGGAGGAATAGAAAATGCAGCTGACACCCTGCTGGCCATATCTCCCAGCATGGGGACCACATCCAGTCACCTCCCTAGACACTATTCCAGCATAAACCATCGGCTTGTGTGCCCAGTCATTTTCTTTAGCATTTGGGGGACATCAGAGTCTGCCCTGTCTATCTGTTTCCAGCCCAGCTACCTGTGGCTTAGGGGAGGGAGGCAGTGCTGTAGTGATGGAGGTGGCCAGTGATGGGGACATCAGCAAACTGGTGATGCTGCACGTTGCCTGCAGAGAAAGGCTCCAGAGCAGCTGTTGCTCAACCTAGCTGCATGACCCCCAACCATAAAATCGTTTCATTGCTACTTCACAACTGTGATTTTGTGTTGTTATGAGTCATAATGTAAATATCAGCTGTGCAGGATATCTGACATGGGACCCCTGGTTGAGAACTACTGTTCCAGAGTCACATGCAGTGGGTTTCGTCACAATTCCATCATAGGTGGATGGGAAGTCGACTAACTCTACTGTACCTCAGTTTGTTCATCTCTACAATGGAATTAATTATAGGCCCATCTATACAGGAACATTGAGAAAGTCATGGGACACTAAAATGAAGGGTGTCAGGTAGTACCAGGCATGTAATAAGTAAGCACTACAGATCTTTGGCGTTTTAACAGTAGTACTTGCAAGTTGGGTTTGAAATAGTTTAGGGAAGGGCATCTTCCGATGTTTGTGGTGGCATGTGGAGAGTCACTGGCACCAGCAGCCTGGGAAAGGGGAACAGGTGGTACCCGGTGGCATTCAGGGTGATTTATTGGCCAGCCATTGCTGAGGAGAACGGGCGCCTGCTTGGTGCCTGTGCTGCGACCAAGCCAGGGCAGAGTGCTGACTGGGCAGCTACTCTGGTTACCCCAGCGCCCAAGGCTTTGCTTTCTTTATTTCCCTTTTTGCTTCATCCTGCCTTCCCTTGCCCTGGGAAGAAAGATACATATGTGCTTTAAAAAAAAAAAAAAAGCTCATGTTCATCTGTTTCACTGAAACTGCTGTATCTGTACTGTAGCTGTGGTTTTGCTTTTATGGAGGTGAGTGTACCCACGAGTTACAAACCGCCAGTTGTCTTTAGGAACGTTCCAAAATCCTCCATCAGCTGTTCATCCGTTGTATAACCACAGGAGAGTTGCTTGCCCACGGGAAATTTTGAAATAGCAACTTTTTTTTTTTTTTTACTTTAACTTTCTGGCCATACTAATTCGATACTTTAAAAGGAAAGAAAATATGTCATTACTACTGTAGTTGTTCATTTGTAATAGCCTCAATTGGGTCTTTAATTTTTATGTATCTGGACTTTGCCATTCACCTGTCTTCCCTTAAGAGGAAAAAAGATGTGCAGAACATTTGATATGGAGAAAAGACAGGGTAAGCTGTTAGGGGAGATATGTGCAGAAAAGTGTTTTTTAGAAAAAGTGATTTCAGGTTTCAATGCAAAGGTGTGTTTTGATTGTGGTTGGCTAGTCCAGGTTCAACAGTTAACCTTTCTGATTGGATTATTGAGAAAATCATCTCTCAAACATAAGTAAAAAGACTTACCAACAGTAATCCACGACCCTGTAGCATTTTCCTCTTTGCTACCTTGTTTCACCTGTTGTTAAAACTTTGTATTGGGATGTTAAAATTGTAGGCATGTAATTGACGTTGACTATGAAGATCACAATATCTAAGCTGGAGGGAGAAAAGGGGGCAGGCAAAGATCCCTGTAACAAGATTTCCCTGCATCAGTCCAGAAATGCACAGTGCATGTGGCTCACTGCAAAACTGGTAGAGGAAGGAGAAAGAAAAACCTGGGTTCTAACTGGGACAAGCTAATTGGTTGCAGGCCCTAGGGGCTGCCCTCTTCTTGTTCTTCCGGTGGTATTTTGGGGAGACCCTCTGGTCATGATGCAGGGACTAAGCTTGTCAGATGAGCCTTGACATAGGGCAGGAGTGGAAAGATCTGTTTTTGTGACTTTTGTCTCAAATATGGAAGTAAAGCTACAATCGAGGCTAGACATTTTTCTGTAATTAGCAGATTTCAAATGATACATATGGGGACCAGGGATTAACCTGATGATGATACCTTCAGGTATGAGGGTTTACTAGACCCAGAATTGTCTGCTGTCAAATTGATGGCCTGGATTGAGGAAGTTTTATAAGTTACATCTCCAGGTTGCTAAAGAAGGAATCTGCTTTGGGGCAAGAATTAAGTAGTTCATCAAAGTATAGGTACTTAGCATCTGCCATTCTTTGGGTTGAGTGTGGACTAAGGAAGATTCAAATGTATCAGTAACCTCAATAAAGCCTTGCAATGGCATGCATGTAGTGTGAATCCCCTCAGGCCTCCTTTGTCTAACTATCTTCAATCTCATCTAATGTGTGTATTTTTCTTCTTCAAAGGAAACCACTGTTTTAGCAATTAACAAAATAATCGTTTGTTGAAAAAGGATATGTACCTATTCCTACTATCACCAGAATTCCTGATTCCACAGCGATGTTAGAGCCGAGATATCCTAAGACCAAGGACAGGGGCAAGGGTCGCAAGCAGCCATCTCATGAGTTTGTGTTACTGTTGATGGGTGCGAGGAAATTGAAGGGAGTAGCACCCCAGGTCAGCAGATCATTGTGCAGATGTGCAGCCCCTGAAGTCCAAGCTGACGGGACTTAATGTCTACAGTTACACACACTGGCACATAACACACTACACCCCTCCTCCCCAGCTGCCTTTGGTCTGCTGAACCACATGTCCCTGTAGATAACACCAAATAGACCGTTTAAATTGCAGTATTTCTTTTGAACATAGATTGTAGATATTTCTTGGAATTAATGTAGAGATAAATAATAATAAGTATTGATGAAATACCTAGAAGTAAAAAATTAACTCACCATCAAATTCTTAAGCCCTCCTGGATGCTCTGAACCAAGTATCTATTAAATAAAAGGGCCCGCTGTCCTTCTTGTTCAGTGGGAGGGGAGATGGCCTCAGACCCCTCCTCTCCTCTCTCCTATAGGTTGCTCTCTTCACCATGATTCCCTGCAGAACAGTGCTGACTTTCGCGCGATGTCTGATCCGGAGAAAAATTGTCACACTGGACAGCCTAGAAGATTCCAAACTCTGCCGCTGCTTAACCACCATGGACCTCATCGCCCTGGGGGTTGGAAGCACTCTGGGTGCTGGGGTTTATGTCCTTGCTGGGGAAGTCGCCAAAGCAGATTCTGGTCCGAGTATTGTGGTATCTTTCCTCATCGCCGCGCTGGCCTCGGTGATGGCTGGTCTTTGCTATGCTGAATTTGGGGCCCGGGTACCGAAGACTGGATCTGCTTATCTATACACATACGTCACGGTCGGAGAGCTGTGGGCCTTCATCACTGGCTGGAATCTCATCCTGTCATATGTCATAGGTATGTTTCAAAAACAAATATTAGTAGTGTACAGGGTAAAAATAGCTTTCCAGAGGGCCCCGGCACTAGGGATAAACCTGCCCTTCTCAGCTGTGGGGTGTTCCGGAGGAAGTCATTTCTTGTCTGTCTCTCCTTGTCATAGCTACTAAATAGAGCTTTATCGCGGAAGGCTGATTTTGCTTCCTCTTTGAATTCATGATTCTCAACGGCATTGAAAACTGCATGAAGTTTTGAAAATACTTTTTTTCTTTTCATGAGTGTGTGTGTGTGTGTGTTCACACTCATGCTGGTGCAAATGTCACGACTCTTCCTCTCTGGCTCTTCTACCGTATTCTTTGAAGCAGGATCTCCCCGTTGAGCCCTGTGGTTACACGCCAGGTGATCCTGGCCCGCTTGCTCTAAGGTATTAGACTAAGGCTAGACTTCTAAGGCTAGACTTACAGGCTGTGCCACCGGTGCTACTAACTTAAGGGTCTGAACTGACATCTTGCGTAGTTCAGCAAACATTTTAAGCCATCTCCCCAGCCCTTAAATAGCTCTTTATAAGTTGCCTGATACGAACATTTAATTGCTGCTCTAGCTGAGTATGATGGTACACACCTGTATGATGTCTGCCTGGACTGCATAGCAGGACCCTACCTAAAAAAAAAAAAAAAAAAAAAGGAATGAAGGAAGGAAAGAAAGTGTCCTTGTGATTTTTTATTACAATATTAATTTGGTTTTATGATGTGGTTAAAATTTTCAGCTGGTGTGAACTAAGCCAGGTTTCTCCGGGAATCGACTAGGCAGGTGTTACGTTAATATTCTACCTGCAGCCTTTTATTCTCTTAACATTCTGTGTTGGGTAGGTACATCTAGCGTTGCAAGAGCATGGAGTGGCACCTTCGACGAACTTCTTAACAAACAAATTGGCCAGTTTTTCAAGACATACTTCAAAATGAATTACACTGGTCTCGCGGAGTATCCAGACTTCTTTGCCGTGTGCCTTGTATTACTTCTGGCAGGTAAGGTAACAGTCATATGCCATTCCCTGTACTGAACCACACTAATGGGCCAGGAAGAGTAGGTTGCATAGGCCTTGGAGCCTGAGTTCTCTGAATGAGGTCAGCATTTGTATCGATCCCCATAGAGTCAGTGTTGAATCGCTGTAAGCTTCATTTTCCCTGTTTCACAAAGAGGATTACATCATGTATATGAAAGGGTGAGACCTCATCTCTGAGGAAGAGTCACCTGGAACCCTAAGTCATAGGATGAAGACATCAATCTTTGTTTTGAGAACATCGATTTCTTAATAACTAATCATAGATGATCAAGAATGGCAAGGGCATTTCTATTAGACAAAATGTAGAATTCCATGGTATTGTTTCATCCTGTTAAATGCAACCAGGGTCATTAGCAAATATATTATTTCTAGAAAAAAGAAAGTGTTTTCCTGCCATGTATCCACTATAGACATCTCTTGATAAAGGAAGCATTCAGCTCACCTGACATTTTTTTAATTGGATATTTTATTTATTTCCATCTCAAATGTTATCCCCTTTCTCAGTTGCTCTTCTGCAAACCTCCCTATCCCATCCCCCTTGCCCCGCTTCAGTGAGGGTGTTCACCCACCCACTCACCCTCTCCTGCCTCACCACCCTGGCATTCCCCTGCATCAAGCCTTCACAGGACCAAGGGCCTCCTCTCCCATTGATGTCACCTGCCATTTTCTTATGCAGATATCTAAAGCACATATTCCTAGTTAATATTATATAATAATAACATTATTATATATAGTATTATATATCATGTAATATATAACATTGTTTTAATATATAAAATAACACATACTAATATATAATAAGCAGCCTAGTTAATATTAACATGTTTATTTATAGATGGCTCCATTAAACTTAAAATATTCAGCTTTAATCTCTTAATGATGAGATGCTGATAGCTATGACTCGTGTTCGGAACTGTTAAATTCCATACAAGACCTCAGCTGTAGCCTGAACCTTCGTCCTCTGCTCTCTGACCTCCAGTCTTTTCTTTAATGTTCTCTAAACTTAGAATTTTGTTCCTAGACTATTAAAATCTCTCTCTATATTCACTCAACTGCAATGCTGTATGTTAGCTGAAACTTGTTTTATTAAAGCTACCAGGGAAGCATGTATAGCATTCGGATGAAGAATATATTTGGGTCTAATCTATGGGTGGAGGAAAAGAACTTAGGGAGAGCCTGCACTGGCATGTTTGAAACCTTGAAATAAACCAAATGAAGTAATTTTTAAAATTATAGAGATAAAAAAATATATAATCCATGAATGACTGGTAGACAGCTAATAATGTTAATATATAAGTACCTCTTATAAATCAATATGAATAATTAAGTCAGAATACTCTGACGTAAAACTTGTGCAGTGTAGATGAGGCTAAATTTCGCTTTGTATAAAAATGTGTGCCTGGGGCTCAGAAGATGGGTTAGTGGATAAATTGCCTGCCATGACAAGCATGACAGTGTGCATCTGGATCCCCAGAACTCATCTAAAGACTGGGAATGGTGATACACATTTGTAACCCCAGCACTGAGGATGGGGGAAACCAAGGCAGATGGACCCCTGGATCCCTGGAGTCTGTTGGACTACTCAAACTGAGGAGCTCCGGTTACTGTCTCAAAAATGAAGTTCAGAGAATCAAGGCAGACAGCCACATCAGCCTCTGACCTCCATACGCACACTCATGCGCATGTGCACACATCTGCGCCTGCACACTCGTATGTACGTGCACACATGCACATGAATGCATGACCTTCCATACACCCTTTACTTTTTCATTTTCAGTACATCCTGACTACAGTTTCTCCTTCCTCCAGTCCTCCCAGTCCCTTCCAGCCCAACCTCCGCTCTCCCCCATATCTACTCTTCTCTTTCTCTTCAGAGAACAGGCCTCCTGGAGATATCAACTGAACACAGCATAACAAGATACAATGAGACTAGGCACAAGCCCTCATATCAAGGCTGGATGAGGCAACCCCGTAGGAGGAAAGGGGTTGCAAGATCAGGCAAAAGAGTCAGATACCCCCAGTCCCATTTTTAGGATTCCCACAAAAATACCAAGCTACACAACTCTGACATAGATGCAGAGGACCTGTGTAGACCCATGCAGGCTCTGTGATTGCTGCTTCAGTCTCTGTGAGCCGCTATGACCCCTTCTCAGTTGATTCTGTGGACCGTGTTCTCCTGGTATCCTCAGCCCCTTTGGATCCTGTAGTTCTTCCTCCCCATCTTCCATGGGATTTCCCCAAGCTTCAAGGAAGGAATCTTCTCATACACTCTTAATTTGTGGAAGACTAATTCCATGGAAAATGTTATAAAATGCAGAAAGATATTTATAAAATGACAATGATGTCAGTGCTGATATAAAATAAAACCAAGAGTGACCTAATTGTCTATAAAAAAGGGATTAACGTATCTCCACATAGTATCTCATGCAGCTGCAAACCTGATGATAAATTTGTTGGTGCAGAAATACATATGTGTGCATGTGTAGAATTCTGCAGAGATACCAGAAATGATCTTTATTCTTTGTATTGCTCAGTTTCATCCAACTACTTGAATGGGGTATTTACATTCCTAATATAAAGTAAATGTATTCAGGTGAGAATAGATTTAACAGAGAACATTTTGTTGGCATGGCACTTAGAAAAATTATTTTCTGGTGGTATGGTCATGGCAGACTTATGATTGGACTTTTTATATTAGCCTTAGAATAGCTTTTAAAGACAGCCTTTCAAATGTAAGTGTTCTGTCTGTGCCTACCATAGTAGTCATAACCATAGTTAACTAGGCTTACGTAGATGGTGTGAAATCTCTTCAATGTGAGCACAATACAGTATGCTTCCAGACATCAAAATCAGTTCTGTGCCCAAAGGCATTGCTTCATAGTGAAGTGACTAATTACTGAGCTAGCGATACAATTGAGGAAATGTAAGGTAAATGTATGAATACAATAATATCCAATGTGTGTATTGGCAAAAGGCTAGCATTGCCTTTTCTGTGAGCAAAGAGCCCACACTTGATGCCTTCCCTTTTCCCACAGGTCTTTTATCTTTTGGCGTAAAAGAGTCTGCTTGGGTGAATAAATTTTTTACAGCTATTAATATCCTGGTCCTTCTCTTTGTCATGGTGGCTGGGTTTGTGAAAGGAAATGTGGCTAACTGGAAGATCAGTGAAGAGTTTCTCAAAAATATATCAGCAAGTGCCAGGTAAAATATTTGGTCCCTCTTGTGTATATCTGTGTCTGTGTGTCTCTCTCTGTGTAACTATGTATCTCCATGTATGTATCTCTTGAATGTTTAGTCTCTCTCTCTCTCTCTCCCTCCCTCCCTTCCTCCGTCTCTCTCTATCTCCCTCTGTCTCTCTCTTTTTCTCTCTCTCTTTCTCTGTCTCTCTCTTTCTCTCTCTCCTTCCCTCTCTCCCCCCCCCCCCCCCCCTCTCTCTCTCTCTCTCTCTCTCTCTGTGTGTGTGTGTGTGTGTGTGTGTGTGTGTGTGTCTGAGATGAGTATGTGGATGTTGGAAAACACTTTGATAGAGTTGATTGTCTTCTGAGATATTCTTCTGGTCCTGAGAATAGAACTCTGGTTGTTGGGTTTGGTGACAAATGTTTTTACATCCTGAGTCATGTCACCAGCCCCTAAATAAATTTTAAAGAGGTACAGTCTGCCTTTCTTTTCGTTTCATATTAAAAATTGATTCTTATGGGGAAAAATGAAGATAAAGCTTCTTACCTTACCTTTATTGTAGAGCATGGCTCACATGTGAGATTTTTGATGTCAAAATCCTGCTGGCCAGTGTGTTTCATCTAGCATAGGTCTATGTAAATAAGCACAGTTGTGTACACGGGAGGCCAAGGCAAGAGGATTGACAAAAATTTAAGTCTAGCCTGAGCTATATTGCAGATTCCAGGTTAATGTGGACTCATAGTGAGACCCTGTAACAGAGAGAGAGAGAGAGAGAGAGAGAGAGAGAGAGAGAGAGAGAGAGA